ACCCAAACATGGATTAATAGGTTCTCCACATTACTATGAGGACAAACATGAGTGAAACGGTCTCAATCCAAGGGAGGAACATCAAATGGACCAAATTTGGGAACCGGAAGAGGTAAGGAGTCCGAAATGTACCTCTGTGACTCCACATTGAGGAAACTCACTTGTAGTGTATAAGATGAACTAGATGGACCCATACTTACCCAAACATGGATTAATAGCTTCTATACATGACTATGAGGACAAACATGAGTGAAACGGTCTCAATCCAAGGGAGGAACATCAAATGGACCAAATTTGGGAACCGGAAGAGGTAAGGAGTCCGAAATGTACCTCTGTGACTCCAGATTGAGGAAACTCACTTGTAGTGTATAAGATGAACTAGATGGACCCATACTTACCCAAACATGGATTAATAGGTTCTACATGACTATGAGGACAAACATGAGTGAAACGGTCTCAATCCAAGGGAGGAACATCAAATGGACCAAATTTGGGAACCGGAAGAGGTAAGGAGTCCGAAATGTACCTCTGTGACTCCACATTGAGGAAACTCACTTGTAGTGTATAAGATGAACTAGATGGACCCATACTTACCCAAACATGGATTAATAGGTTCTCCACATTACTATGAGGACAAACATGAGTGAAACGGTCTCAATCCAAGGGAGGAACATCAAATGGACCAAATTTGGGAACCGGAAGAGGTAAGGAGTCCGAAATGTACCTCTGTGACTCCAGATTGAGGAAACTCACTTGTAGTGTATAAGATGAACAAGATGGACCCATACTTACCCAAACATGGATTAATAGGTTCTATACATGACTATGAGGACAAACATGAGTGAAACGGTCTCAATCCAAGGGAGGAACATCAAATGGACCAAATTTGGGAACCGGAAGAGGTAAGGAGTCCGAAATGTACCTCTGTGACTCCACATTGAGGAAACTCACTTGTAGTGTATAAGATGAACTAGATGGACCCATACTTACCCAAACATGGATTAATAGGTTCTACATGACTATGAGGACAAACATGAGTGAAACGGTCTCAATCCAAGGGAGGAACATCAAATGGACCAAATTTGGGAACCGGAAGAGGTAAGGAGTCCGAAATGTACCTCTGTGACTCCACATTGAGGAAACTCACTTGTAGTGTATAAGATGAACTAGATGGACCCATACTTACCCAAACATGGATTAATAGGTTCTCCACATTACTATGAGGACAAACATGAGTGAAACGGTCTCAATCCAAGGGAGGAACATCAAATGGACCAAATTTGGGAACCGGAAGAGGTAAGGAGTCCGAAATGTACCTCTGTGACTCCACATTGAGGAAACTCACTTGTAGTGTATAAGATGAACTAGATGGACCCATACTTACCCAAACATGGATTAATAGGTTCTCCACATTACTATGAGGACAAACATGAGTGAAACGGTCTCAATCCAAGGGAGGAACATCAAATGGACCAAATTTGGGAACCGGAAGAGGTAAGGAGTCCGAAATGTACCTCTGTGACTCCACATTGAGGAAACTCACTTGTAGTGTATAAGATGAACTAGATGGACCCATACTTACCCAAACATGGATTAATAGGTTCTACATTACTATGAGGACAAACATGAGTGAAACGGTCTCAATCCAAGGGAGGAACATCAAATGGACCAAATTTGGGAACCGGAAGAGGTAAGGAGTCCGAAATGTACCTCTGTGACTCCAGATTGAGGAAACTCACTTGTAGTGTATAAGATGAACTAGATGGACCCATACTTACCCAAACATGGATTAATAGGTTCTATACATGACTATGAGGACAAACATGAGTGAAACGGTCTCAATCCAAGGGAGGAACATCAAATGGACCAAATTTGGGAACCGGAAGAGGTAAGGAGTCCGAAATGTACCTCTGTGACTCCAGATTGAGGAAACTCACTTGTAGTGTATAAGATGAACTAGATGGACCCATACTTACCCAAACATGGATTAATAGGTTCTATACATGACTATGAGGACAAACATGAGTGAAACGGTCTCAATCCAAGGGAGGAACATCAAATGGACCAAATTTGGGAACCGGAAGAGGTAAGGAGTCCGAAATGTACCTCTGTGACTCCACATTGAGGAAACTCACTTGTAGTGTATAAGATGAACTAGATGGACCCATACTTACCCAAACATGGATTAATAGGTTCTACATGACTATGAGGACAAACATGACTGAAACGGTCTCAATCCAAGGGAGGAACATCAAATGGACCAAATTTGGGAACCGGAAGAGGTAAGGAGTCCGAAATGTACCTCTGTGACTCCACATTGAGGAAACTCACTTGTAGTGTATAAGATGAACTAGATGGACCCATACTTACCCAAACATGGATTAATAGGTTCTCCACATTACTATGAGGACAAACATGAGTGAAACGGTCTCAATCCAAGGGAGGAACATCAAATGGACCAAATTTGGGAACCGGAAGAGGTAAGGAGTCCGAAATGTACCTCTGTGACTCCACATTGAGGAAACTCACTTGTAGTGTATAAGATGAACTAGATGGACCCATACTTACCCAAACATGGATTAATAGGTTCTCCACATTACTATGAGGACAAACATGAGTGAAACGGTCTCAATCCAAGGGAGGAACATCAAATGGACCAAATTTGGGAACCGGAAGAGGTAAGGAGTCCGAAATGTACCTCTGTGACTCCAGATTGAGGAAACTCACTTGTAGTGTATAAGATGAACTAGATGGACCCATACTTACCCAAACATGGATTAATAGGTTCTATACATGACTATGAGGACAAACATGAGTGAAACGGTCTCAATCCAAGGGAGGAACATCAAATGGACCAAATTTGGGAACCGGAAGAGGTAAGGAGTCCGAAATGTACCTCTGTGACTCCACATTGAGGAAACTCACTTGTAGTGTATAAGATGAACTAGATGGACCCATACTTACCCAAACATGGATTAATAGGTTCTCCACATGACTATGAGGACAAACATGAGTGAAACGGTCTCAATCCAAGGGAGGAACATCAAATGGACCAAATTTGGGAACCGGAAGAGGTAAGGAGTCCGAAATGTACCTCTGTGACTCCACATTGAGGAAACTCACTTGTAGTGTATAAGATGAACTAGATGGACCCATACTTACCCAAACATGGATTAATAGGTTCTCACATTACTATGAGGACAAACATGAGTGAAACGGTCTCAATCCAAGGGAGGAACATCAAATGGACCAAATTTGGGAACCGGAAGAGGTAAGGAGTCCGAAATGTACCTCTGTGACTCCACATTGTGGAAACTCACTTGTAGTGTATAAGATGAACTAGATGGACCCATACTTACCCAAACATGGATTAATAGGTTCTCCACATTACTATGAGGACAAACATGAGTGAAACGGTCTCAATCCAAGGGAGGAACATCAAATGGACCAAATTTGGGAACCGGAAGAGGTAAGGAGTCCGAAATGTACCTCTGTGACTCCACATTGAGGAAACTCACTTGTAGTGTATAAGATGAACTAGATGGACCCATACTTACCCAAACATGGATTAATAGGTTCTCCACATTACTATGAGGACAAACATGAGTGAAACGGTCTCAATCCAAGGGAGGAACATCAAATGGACCAAATTTGGGAACCGGAAGAGGTAAGGAGTCCGAAATGTACCTCTGTGACTCCACATTGAGGAAACTCACTTGTAGTGTATAAGATGAACTAGATGGACCCATACTTACCCAAACATGGATTAATAGGTTCTACATGACTATGAGGACAAACATGAGTGAAACGGTCTCAATCCAAGGGAGGAACATCAAATGGACCAAATTTGGGAACCGGAAGAGGTAAGGAGTCCGAAATGTACCTCTGTGACTCCACATTGAGGAAACTCACTTGTAGTGTATAAGATGAACTAGATGGACCCATACTTACCCAAACATGGATTAATAGGTTCTCCACATGACTATGAGGACAAACATGAGTGAAACGGTCTCAATCCAAGGGAGGAACATCAAATGGACCAAATTTGGGAACCGGAAGAGGTAAGGAGTCCGAAATGTACCTCTGTGACTCCACATTGAGGAAACTCACTTGTAGTGTATAAGATGAACTAGATGGACCCATACTTACCCAAACATGGATTAATAGGTTCTACACATGACTATGAGGACAAACATGAGTGAAACGGTCTCAATCCAAGGGAGGAACATCAAATGGACCAAATTTGGGAACCGGAAGAGGTAAGGAGTCCGAAATGTACCTCTGTGACTCCAGATTGAGGAAACTCACTTGTAGTGTATAAGATGAACAGATGGACCCATACTTACCCAAACATGGATTAATAGCTTCTATACATGACTATGAGGACAAACATGAGTGAAACGGTCTCAATCCAAGGGAGGAACATCAAATGGACCAAATTTGGGAACCGGAAGAGGTAAGGAGTCCGAAATGTACCTCTGTGACTCCACATTGAGGAAACTCACTTGTAGTGTATAAGATGAACTAGATGGACCCATACTTACCCAAACATGGATTAATAGGTTCTCCACATTACTATGAGGACAAACATGAGTGAAACGGTCTCAATCCAAGGGAGGAACATCAAATGGACCAAATTTGGGAACCGGAAGAGGTAAGGAGTCCGAAATGTACCTCTGTGACTCCACATTGTGGAAACTCACTTGTAGTGTATAAGATGAACTAGATGGACCCATACTTACCCAAACATGGATTAATAGGTTCTCCACATTACTATGAGGACAAACATGAGTGAAACGGTCTCAATCCAAGGGAGGAACATCAAATGGACCAAATTTGGGAACCGGAAGAGGTAAGGAGTCCGAAATGTACCTCTGTGACTCCAGATTGAGGAAACTCACTTGTAGTGTATAAGATGAACAAGATGGACCCATACTTACCCAAACATGGATTAATAGCTTCTATACATGACTATGAGGACAAACATGAGTGAAACGGTCTCAATCCAAGGGAGGAACATCAAATGGAAGATCAGAGCTAGAAAATAGGTAGAGCTCGTCGGTTTCAATTTTCATCCTGTCAGCCCGACTTCCTATTTGGTCGACACTCTGCAGTTGTGCAAAAACAAAAAATGATCTTAAGAAGAAAAAAGTGTAATCAAGCCAACATAATGCATGGGATAATATCCTTCAGAACAATACTAGAACTACCGTAAAAGAGAACATTTTTCTACAAATAAAGTGCAGATGCGAGTAATTTGGATGCTAGAACTGAAAGACTACTTTGCATTTTGCAATTAAGCTCATTCACACCAACTTAAGCAGCCATGGAACAAATATACAATCCACGAGTTTTGGATACACAGAAGTTGAGTACTACTAACCTCTTCACCAGAGACATACAAAACCGGTGCTGGTTGGGCCGAATCATTCCCCTCAGCAATTATAGAAGCAATCTTCCATTCAAGAATACGGAGAGAGGATCAGTGAGTCGTTGTGTGCATTCACAATCCGTTTTCACATTACTAAAAGTTGATAACCAACGTACCAAGGGAAAACAAAATAATAAAATCACATATTCTAACCTGCAATAACAAGGTACTCTTGCCAATACCAGGGTCACCACCAATCAAAATCAAGGAACCTACAAAACAACACTATAGAGCATAAGCTTTTCCAGAAACTGAAGTAATGTTAAACACAAAACGAAAGACGAAAAAGAATTAAAATCATGAAGACAGCATCAAACCTGGAGCAAGACCACCACCAAGCACTCTCCCAACTTCATTCCCAAAAAGTCCAGGCCTACTAACATCAAATTGCATCATGTAAACAATAAGAACAACAAAAAAAATATCATATTTAAAGAAGAAGCAATACATACAGAGAAATTCGCCATTGTTGCTGAGTAATTCCATCAATCACAGAGCTCAATTTGAGCGGCTGCACCACTCCTTGCTCAGGCAACCACGACAAACCAGAACTTTCCGAAACACCCGAGCCGCCGCCGCCGCCGCCACTAAAATTTCCACCACCACTTCCACGAGACTCGGAAGCTTCGGAGAAACGCCGCATGGTCCCAACTTTGTTACAAGCACGACAGCTCCCCCACCATTGCCCTTCCGAATGCCCACAGCTCTCGCAAACCCAAGAGGTTTTCACTTTACCTTTCTTCTTATTCATCACTACTTCCCCTGGATCCCATCCCCGCGTAAATCCGCCGGATTTGGATTTTCTCGATTTCTCCTCGGGCTTCTCTTCTCCGCTAAAACTCGCGTCATTTGCGATTCTTCGTCTCTCTGTGACTTCGTCTGAGGTTGAATTGACGGTTTGATCGGAGACAGGTTCGAAAATGGAGGAGAGGCGACGGAAACGGAGGCGGACGGGGGGAACAGGAACCGTTACCGGAGAGGAGGAAGATCGGAGAAGAAGATGAGAGTGTACTCGAGTGTAGAAGCATCTGAAACATTTCATATTTGCGATCATCATCAACACAAGTCTCGAAATCTCCTTCAATTTTCTACTGCTCGTTAGGGTATGAGCTTGGAAGGACCCGCCAATTTCACACTCTTGATTTGCCGCTCAGTCTTCTCTCTTCTCTTCACATTTCCCAACACAGCACTAGCAGTGCTAAAAGTAATTAATGTTGTTTTACTAAGTGTGTTAACACCAAATGGCCACGAACCAACCAAGCCCAGGCCCACTAAGACCTGGCATGATTCCACAAGACCCAAAGAAGCCCGGACTAGCCCTGAAATTAAGTGTTTACGGTGTGCCTTTCTTCCTCTCTTTAGGCTCTACAGCAATGTAGCTTGATACTGTGACAGAAATGCATCCGGGGACTTTGACTCACTAGCTAGACACTAATGAGATGTAATCATTAAATGGTGACGAAATTTGTCTTCTAATGGTGAAGTTAAGCTCTTCTTCACGCTTTTTATAGTGTTATGGTTTGCCCGGAAAGAAAAAAAAAAATCCATTGAAAAAAGATTAATATTGGTAGATTATGAATTAACTGGTACTAGATAGATAGAAAAAAATGTTACTACAACACATGACATGTAGGAATGTAGTGGTGTGACAACAAAACGTTTTAACCAATTTATAAGTCATATATATCCTGATCTATTCTTTTTTTTTTTGGAAACATATATTTCTTTGATTACCTTTTAATATAGACTTTCACAAATAACTTAGCCTATCTAATATTGTGTTCTTATACTTTTACTAGGAAATCTCCAAAATTATGTTAATGATATATATATATATATATATATATATATATATATATATATATATTGATTTAATACCAAATCCTGACATAAATATTAAACATTTGGTGGTGAAAATTCATTTAGTAGTTGTTAACCAAATGGTTAATTATATTTCTACATTAGAATGTCTGGAGTTTCGTTTGCTAGTGGATGAGATTTTTTTGTTAATCAATGGAGGTAATGCTTATAGGAATACTAGGTAATGCTAATGAAATTTTAAACTGTTATATATATATATATATTATTTTTTTTTTACAAAAGCTTCACATTTTTTTATTTTTGCTGTTTTTTTATAAACTTTTCTTTGTAATATACTTTTTAATTATTTTTTACTTACCAATTTAATTATTTTATAATTAGTCATAATAACTTAATAAGTAAGATATTTTTATATTTTCTGTAAAAAACATACAATAGCCCTATCCTCACATTTCTTAAATTAATCCCTTAATTTTACTATTCATTAGACACTTTTAAATTTTTTATATCCATTAAAGGTCATTCGGCAAGCTTTTGTACAGTCCAATATTAGTCTACCAAGTGAATGTTTATTATCTAATTTATGATTTTGTTCTTTTCATTTTTGTGTTGACTAAATATTTGCGAGTTCTTTAGTTGTCTAATGCTCTTGATTTTTTTATATATATATTTGGTATATTAAATTGCCTTTGTATCTTCCAAAAGTCTCTCAAGTCACCGAAGTTCAAAAGATGGTGGTGTTTACTTGCAATTCATATTCGCTGTGTTAAGCATTGATGATACATTGGAAGTTAATAAGGTCGAGAGAGTAGCATATGATGATGTGAAATCTGTGGAGTATTTCTTAAAACAAAAGTTTGAATCACAGCCAAAGATTGCCAAGGTTGGTAAACTTTCTCTCTGTTCCACCAAGTACTTAGAAACATTAGATAATAGTCTTTAGATAAAAAGTAAAAGGATAAGCATTAGATAATAATCTTTTAATCAAACATTAGATATAGTCTATCTATTATAGCACATCATGTCTTTGAAATCAGCTATTGATCGTCCTGGTTCATAAGTTTCTCTATCTTCATCAAAGTGTGTAGCTTTAGCTGATTTTCATTTAAACGTAGGCTTGGGAAGTTGAAAAGTCTTGTGTTTTCTGTGAAGCATGTCTTCACCTAGTGATTTCCAATAGTGATTCCACAAATTTAGAGGACTCCCAACCACTACAAGAAATATTGGTATTGATAGCACAATATAATAGCACGATTTTCGTAACTGCTATTAAAGGGGTATATTGATTTAGGGTACTCTATTATAACATTTTTTAAATGCTATGCCGAAATTTCAGTAACCGGGAACTATTGGAGCCTAATTTTCCAAATTTGTCATAGGCCTCGACACTTAAAAAAAAAGTCACAAGCCTTTTCTGTACAAAAAAAAACCAGATCTCTTGCGAGTGCGACCTTCGACCTTCTTCTCCTCCCTCTATCCTCTTCATTTCCGATTTACTCCTCAATCATCTCCGATCGGAGATGCTCCTCAATCTTGTGATAGCCCTCTCTCATCATCTCTCTCCTGCTTATCCCTTAGAAAATTAGGGTTTTAGACGAGGAAGAAGAGCAAACGTCTCTCGACTTTCCCCGTCAGTCTCTTCAGTCTCGCGACGGCACTAACGAAAATCCCGACTAGAAAGCAGAAATTTATCCTTCTGCTGGATCGATTCCTGGATTGATTCCGATTAGGACATATGTATTCTCCTTGCCTTGCTCCTTCTTTTGTTTCATAGCTTGGACCTCGTTTCTTATTGTGCATTTGATTTTTAAAAATTCTGGGTTTTGTGTGTTTTTCAGAGTTTGTTGGGGTCTTTGAATTTCAAAGCAGTTGTGATTGAGGTAAACTAAAAATCTCAATGCTTTAGCATCTTTGCTTGATTTCTTTTTACGACTCTAATCTAATAACGATTCCTACTTTGGTGGTAGCTAATTCACGAAGAAAGATGTATTGCCCTTTAATGTCTACAGTTCTCAGTTAGCCTAGCTGTTCAAGAGCGCCAGAACTGTTGAGATGGTTGAGAGACGAGTTCAGAATTCTATTTTGCGGATTGATGTGATGTCTAATTTGTGAGGTATAGTTTTCTTAAAAGAGATTGTTATCCTTTGGGGTTTAAGTAGTTTATGTTGCATCACAATGATAAAGATTGCTGTGTTGTTGAGATGAATCGTTTTTCAGTTCTTTGTTTTTCAGGTAATCTATGACAAAGTACCAGGACCAAGATGGGGTTTCGGATTCGTGACTATGTCGCCAGTCTCTGAAGTTGAGGCAGCTGCTCAAGAGTTCAATGGCTATGTAAGAAGATACTACTCTACCTTACTCTATTCTTTGATTGTTGTAATTAATTGGCTGAGGAATTGTTGTATCCTTGCTTGTTAGTATGTGTCTGTGTTTTGTTTTTTTAATTTTTGAGTTAGTGCTTTTGTGCTTTTGTATTCATTTTTAGCTGAGAAATGAGGCGTTTGATGGATACTTATATGGTTTTATGCTGTTCTATATTCCAGTGATAAGCTGCAAAGACGCTAATCTGGAGAAATTGGAGAGCAGAAACAGTGATCTTTAAGCACCACAAAACTTCCTGTTTGCACCACTTTCTATCAAGGTTTGGCTATCTGTCAATAAAACGTTTTCACTATTTTGATGATAGATGTTGCGTATCCAAAGGTGTAGGCTAAAGCCGGTGATGATATGGTTAGAACTCACTTTCCTCTTTGTACTTACTAGATTTTCGTACAAGAAGTGATATTCTTGACATCACTTTTATGGCGCTTTGTGTGGTTATTGATTAATGTATTCTTGACATATGATTCACAGTATAACCTCCTGTGGGCTACAGTTGCTGAGGAAAATAACTTGTTGGCGGTTTTTGTTTTGCTAGGATTAGATGATTGACAATGTTCTTGAGCATTGATCCAGATGAAGCCGAAGAGAGTGGTAATGGAGCAGTAAGCCACAAGCGAATTTGAGTTTAGTACATGCCAGAGTTAAGCAAGGAAATGGAGTTTGGATTCTACTGTTAGTTAAGACTTGAACTGAGTGAGACTTGTAATATTTGTTGAGGATTGAGGCTTGTATTGAGTTTTTCTATATATATATGAATTCTATGAAAAATCAGGTTTCTTGCAAATGTATAACAAATATGAATATCTCAAACTAAATGGTGTGTATCAACAATAATAGTATATATAGCATACCGAAAATCAGTGTTTTATAGCAGCAAAATATGGCTCTTATATTTTAAATTATAGCTACAAAATAGAGCTACTAAACAATATATTATAGCCTAGTAAAAGAGCTACAACAAAGAAAATTATATCATTTATTATACGCTATAATAGACAAACTTGTAATAGCACATGAAAAAAGTGCTATCATATGGTGGTGACCTATAATAGCTCCGGCTAACACAGCGTTTATGAAAACGCTATCAAACACATATTATAGCACTAATCGTATGCTGTCAATGGGCATATTTCTTGTAGTGAACTTGACAATATATCAGCAAGCAAACAAATAGTCTTCGTAGTTGATAAGGTGTAGACCATTGAGTTGCTTCGTCCATCACGTCATGCCCTCAGAGTCTGAATCTAGGAGACCTCTATCATAGGATACTGATTTGTAATCATCATATTTCGTGTCCCCAGCACTTTGAATCTCTTCAAAACTTTCCACTTTTGACCATAGACTTCTATCGCTGTTCCATGTAATTTTTTTCAGAAATTCCGAATAAGTTATCTGATGAGCCTCTTCTGATTCTTCGTTTCTCTCCATCCATCGTCTAAACATACTTTTCTCAATGTCTTCCTTTGATTGAACTCTACTCATAATGAAAGAGTTATTACCATAAAGGTCCTCGTTCTTGTCAACAGATTCATTAAACTCGGCGTTGGAACGAATCCCAAAGTTTTGACCCTCAATAGTGTAGTCATCATGGTCGGCTTGCACCATTGTTGTTTCCGGAATGAATTGGATGAGAAATCTGTGTGAGGAGAACTTGTAGCTCGTTTTGTTGATGATGACCAAAAAACTACCAATGTTGTAGACTTCTCCCGCCTTTTTCGTTGTTGATGACCAGAAAGCTATTAAACTTGTAAACTTCACCAGCCTTTAATTTTTCCTCATAGTCTCCTAGTCGATAAGCTGGTATGAATGCTTGGATTGTAGTTCCCTGTATTAAATTATGGTAGAAAAGAGTATTATAAGCTGATGATGATTTAACTTTCTATTGGTAATTGGTAAATAATGTTGGTGTCGTTACCTTTTGATCGATTAGAAGCAGTTCATATCTCATAAGCAGACCTCCTTTTTTAGGGTTCCTTGCCTCCCAGAAGTGGATGTCTCTAGCAAGCAGCTCTTTCTTACAAAATCCTTTAGTGAGTTCATCCAAAACAAAAGGACGCCATAACTGATCAGAAACAGAAGAGCTGGAAGAAGACATAGCTATTTTAATAAACGCTCTCTCTTGAAGAATATGGTCTCTTAGAACTCTTGTATGTGTATTCTAAAGTTTAGAGGACTATTTATAGCCAATGCCAAACATTGAAATAGCTAAATTGTTAATTTCCTTTTTATTTTAATTAGTTAGTTTAGCTTTTCCAATAATATGTTCTTTTTGTTAGTTTAACTCTTTTTATGTTGAATTTCCATTAAACTATTTAAAATAATGGTTAAGGTAATTGGTGTCGTAATGTAAGTATTAAAATTCAAAATAGTACAATTTCCATTCTTTAATACAATAATGTAATTTTTCTCAAAAATTATTTAATTTTCGATTTTAAAATTAAAATGCTGATTTGGCAAATTTAATTGGTTTCTTAAAAGCTGATGTGAATGCTCTCAAAAGTTTATAGCTTTTCTATAGTATGGGTTGCCCGCCTGTTCCCCCCCAACTAAAATGTTTCCATCGTGATCCACACAGACTATTGAGCCCCTTTTATTTCCCCCCAAACTTATAATCTCTGTCGGTTTCCCCATTTGCGTTTTAAAAAACAAAATCCAGTTTTCGGAACAGTGATTGCCCGTTTTAACTCAATTGACCCGGGTTTTAAAACGCAAACCCGCGGTTTGTCTAACAAATCAGACCCGATTACATCTAACCCTAACCCGCAACCTTTTTCCCAAAAAATTAAAATCGATTTGGGGGAAATCGAAAGGGGATTAGGGTTCGTCGATTTGGGGAAATCAAAAGGGGATAGATTCGGGGTTAAATCCTCTGTTCGGTGTTCTCCCCCGTGTTGCTCCGTCGTTCTCATCTGGTCGGTTCTCCTGTTTCGTCGTCGTTCTCCGGTAGTCACGAAAGGAAACTGCATTTCCGATGAGGTATTGTTTCTTCGTTTTAGCGTTTAAATTCGTTCTGCTGACACTTAGAGTAGTTGTTTAGGGTGATTGTGGGAGTGATTGTCTCATGGTTTTGCTTATTTGCAGTCATTTCGACACTTTGAAATTGAACTTGCATTATGGAGGACTTATGGAGATAATCGGTGGTAGATTCAGTTACAATGGAGGAGCTTCGAAGCAGGGCATTGTTGTTGATCCTGATTTGATGACCTGGTCGTGTTTTGATGGCTACTGTGAGGAGTTTTCGATAGAAGGTGGTTTAGTGGAGCGAGTTTGGTGGAAGCTCCATCACGAGAGCATGGATACACTGAAGTGTATTGGTGTCGTGGCAAGTGACTCAGAGCTTATGAGAATGTGTAGTCAGGCTATGTCAACTTGTCGTGAAGTTGATGTGTTCATCGAGCAAGAGGAAAAGGGAAAAGATGGTGAGGAGGCTGATGTCAATTTGGAACAGTCTGCTGCTGTTGAAACTGAGAGCGAGAAGGCTCTTTCTGCTGAGAGCGAGAAGGCTCCTTCTGCTGAGGAGAATGAAAGCGAGATTGGTGAGGGTGAAAGCGAGGAGGCTGAGGAGAATCAAAGCCAGGAGGCTGAGGAGAATCAAAGTCAAAGCGAGGAGGCTGAGGAGAATCAAAGCGAGGCTGCTGCAGATGAAAGCGATAAGGATGCTGGAAATGAAAGCGAGATTGATAGCGAGAAAGAGGAAGCTTTGAGGGAAGCTAAGAGGAAAAAGGATAAAAAAGGTAAATCTAAGGTTTTGGAAGATGAAGAAGACATTGGTGCGCGATATGATATGGAGATTGAGGATGCTGTAGCTAGTTTTGTTGATGAGGAAGTAGATTTCAGAAGGACAATTCTAGAGAGTTCAGATAGTGAAGAAGAAGATGATTTGGCTTTGAGAAAGAGACGAATGAAGAGAGATGCTCAGGTTGATAAGTTAGCTCTAGGAGCTACTTTTTGGTCAGGTTATGAGTTCAAGGAAGCCGTTTTGGATTATGCTTTGGCGAATGCAAAGAATATTGAGCAAAATAGATGGGACAAGACGAAGATTGGATACAAATGTGGTGAAGGAGGAAAATGCAAGTGGAAGCTTTATTGCTCGTATGATGAGCCGCATGGGAAGTGGGTTATAAAGACAAAGTGTGGATATCACAGCTGCACGCCTAAAGGAGATGCAAGATGCTTAAAGCTCCAGTCACTGCAAAGCTTTTCTTTCACAAGTTGAGGCAAAAGCCTAACTTTTGGCCTATCAAAATGCAGAAGTACATCAAAGAAACTTGGAGGCTTGTAAGCACAACGAATCAATGCCAGAATGGAAGGTTGCTAGCTCTGAAATGGCTCGACAGAGAGTATGAGCAACAATTTGCACATATTCGTGGATATGTCGAAGAGATACTCACGCATCACGAGAGAACAACGGCCATTGTTGAAACATATCCGAATGCAAAAAACCAAGATGTCTTCAGTCGGTTTTATGTGTGTTTTGAGAAGCTTAGGACCAGATGGAAAAGCTCTTGTCGTCCTATCATCGGGTTAGATGGAACCTTCTTCAAAGGCATAGTGAAAGGATGTTTGTTGACAGCGGTTGGACATGACCCTAACAATCAAATTTATCCGATTGCTTGGGTTGTGGTACAAGCTGAGACAGGGGACAATTGGTTATAGTTTATGAAGAATCTAAAGGCTGATTTGGGGCTTGAAGATGGCAGTGGATATGTCATCATTTCAGACAGATGCAAGGTAAGTTAGACTTAACAACTTTGATTTTTTGACAGTTTCATTCGCTTTATACAGTTTTGTCCTAACAACTTTGATTTTTTTTTTGAAGGGACTACTTAGTTCTGTTAAAGCCGAGTTGCCAAAGGCAGAGCATAGGTTTTGCGTGAAGCACATCTATGAGAACTTGAAGAAGAACCATGCCGGGAAAGACTTATTGAAGAAGTATGTGTGGAATGTTGCTTGGAGCTGTACTATGACTGCATACCGAAAGAATCTTCAGAAGCTAAAAGAGTATGATGTGCCTCTGTTTGAAGATGTTTTGAAAATGGAGCCAAGGTATTGGACATTAGCTTTTTTCAAGCTTGGTAGCTTCTGCGACAAGGTGGAAAACAACTCAACAGAATCTTTCAATGCAACTATTACAAAGGCAAGAGGTAAGGCCATAATACCAATGCTTGAGACCATTAGGAGGCAAGCAATGGTTCGAAATGCAAAGAGACAGAAGAAGGCTGAAAGATGGGATGGTAGGTGTACAAAGTATGTCAAATTGGTCCTCAAGGAGCTGAAGGAACACGCTGACAAATGCGTGGTCAGTCGTGGGAGTCATGGGAACTTTGAGGTGGATCTTTATGATGATAGATGTCATGTAGACACGAAAAATAAGACATGCTCGTGCTTTAAATGGCAAATCTCAGGCATCCCATGTGAGCATGCGTATGGAGCGATGTTAGATGCTGGTTTAGACACAGATGATTATGTCTACGAGTGCTTCTATACAGGTAAACAGCGAGACTGTTATAGTGATAATGTCAAGCCAATGAGAGGACCAGGTATATGGATGGCTGGTTCTCATAGGCTGGTGGTAGCTCCTCCGGAACAAGATCCTCCAGAGGGAGAGGGATCTGAAAAAAAGAAAAAGAAGAAGTCCAAAAAAGGCGAAAAAAGAATCAAGGGTAAGTTTGAGTCACCAAAAAAGAAAAAAAGGTAGGTTCAGAAAACCAAAAGGACTGGTCGAATAATGCATTGCTCCAAGTGTGGTGAAGCTGGTCACAATGCAGCTAGATGTAAGATACACCCAAAGAAGAAGCGAAAGATGACAGAAGAAGCAAGTGACCAGGTATTTTCCCTAGTTTATGTGTATGAGTTTATGAGTTTGATAGTTCGAGTGGTTATGAGTTTGATAATATGATTGGTTTTGAGTTTTGAGAGTTTATGTGTATGTTTGATTGGTTCTGAGTTTGCTTGTCTCTGGTTTTGATTGGTTGTGAGTTTGCTTCTCTCTGATTTTGATTGGTTTTGAGTTTGCTTGTCTCTGATTTTATGTGTATGTTTCGGTTTTCAGGCCAATACTTCATCTCAAGGAGCTGGAAATGGGGCTTTTCAAGGTCCTGAAACCATGTCACTCACTCAACCATCTCAAATGTCAGACTAAAACTTGGAACTCGGTTTCCTCTTATTAGGAATTGTTCTTCTTTTGTTGTGATTCCTTCTTGTGATTCCTCTTTTGTTGTTCTTTCTTGGATTATGAATGCTCACTCTTGTCTTTCTTTGGAATTATGTGGATGTTCTTTTGTTGTTCATTTTGGATTATTAATGTTATTTTCAATTGAGATAGACAGATATTGGTGAACACATTTACTTCAAACAACTTAGAAATATTAAAAGTGGGTAATCCAAAGATGCAAATTGAGTTTACATAATCAGGTTTTCACACCAATCCAACAAAATGAAACGAATCCAACAAAGTAGTACATGTGTTTCCATCCAACAACAATGTCACAAAATGAAACAAACACACATTAAGCTTCCCACAAATCTAGCCCATAAGCTTCCCACAAATGCAAGCAATGGTTCCTACAACCAACAATGTAATCCCAACCTTTTGCATGCTCGTTTTTGCCATCTCTCGAGCCATCTTCTGCAAAGTTTCAGCAGCCATCATCATTTCTTCTTTCATTTTTGCTTTCACCTCTTCTAGCTCTTCTTTCACTCTTTCTTCAACCATCTTACGAATCATCCTCTCTTCTAGTTCCAGTTTCTCCACCATTTTTCCTCTCAATTCCTTTACCTCATCAACAAGACTCAAATGCTTTCTCTCCACCATTCTAGTCTCATCGACCAAAGCTTCCTCAATCCACTTGAAAAGATGCTCTTCTGTTTGCCTCTACACACACAATTTACATCAAATTACATAACTCTTTCATATATGTGTACATTGTTTTCGATTGGTTTGTACCTGTAATGCAACTTCACATCTGTAGAATCGACGGAAAGGATTGTCTTTGGTTTGAGCCGCATAAGTCACAAGGTTCCTACCACACCAAAATCTTGATGGAACACGATACACTGATCTTCTGTTGGTCAGACGAGATGAAGCTGAAGATAAACTACTCATTGTTTTGTTCCCTATTCGAAAAAGAAACCAGCAACAATGATGACAATCACTTGAACCAAAAAACGAAATCACCCAAGAATTCGACAAAGAAACCAATTCGGAATTATAGTTAGCTTACCTTTCTGTCTCTGTCGGAATAATAGATGTCTAATTCTCCTCTCCACGGAACAATATTCAACCCCAGAATCGACGAACCCTAATCCCCTTTCGATTTCCCCCAAATCGATGTAATCGGGTCTGATTTGTTAGACAAACCGCGGGTTTGCGTTTTAAAACCCGGGTCAATTGAGTTAAAACGGGCAATCACTGTTCCGAAAACTGGATTTTGTTTTTTAAAACGCAAATGGGGGAACCGACAGAGATTATAAGTTTGGGGGAAATAAAAGGGGCTCAAAAGTTTGTGGATCACGATGGAAACATTTTAGTTGGGGGGAATAGGCGGGCAACCCCTATAGTATAGATTGTGGATTCTTCTAGAACATGTAAAATATGTAAAATTTCGATTAGGGGAAATACTAAACATGTCTTCAAATAAATCTGTGCATATTTGCCGTTAAGACAGTAAGACGACGACGACGACGACCAGAACAAAGACTAAACTATACAGCGACATGTCTTTGACTTTGACTCTTTGTAGTCCGATAACCAAAACCAAAAAACCTACGAACCGCTTGCTGTCTCGAAGCCTTAGATCAATGAGCGGCTAAGATAACACAAGACTTCCCGAACTGATTCTGTGCCTTAGCTTCCACGTTTCATTTAGAATATCCTCACTGTTAGGTCGCTTCAGATACTCACCCACATCTATCTTCAGTCTTCTTACGTGATCCACAGGCTTTGTGGCTGACTCATATGGGCTCCAACTTCCTCTGCTACTTACGGTACCAATGCTCGTCGTCTCTCGCCCACTCGATGCATCCTACCAAGACGACATTCAGTGTCAGAAACTTTCTCTTTGTCATCTAATCAGTTCGAACCGGTTTAGTGCTATTACCTGAGCTGGACCGGATTCCCAGAGATTCAGTTTTGTATTTGGCGTGTGTGGGGCCATGTCAAGTCGTGTTAGAGCAGCACAAGTGTCGTCTGGAGTGTCCCATTGCAGCCATGGAAGCATAACGCCGTCCATTTCAACAGGAACACTCTTTGGAAGAGTGGTCTGTGATTTTGTCAGGCCGAAGCTTGAGCTACTCTCGCTCCTCTCGTCCTCAAACGATGAGAAGTCTGTGTCTTCAATGTTTGAGATGAATTCGTCAATGTATTGCTCTGCTTCATCTGTCAAACACATAGACAGCCTCCGGTCCTTGCTCCTCTGCGGAAAAGAAGATCTTTTATCTCTTTAATTGGAAAAGAGCAAACGCAATTATATGTGCCAGCGAATGGAGTAGTTACCTTGCGCATCCGCGCAGTCGTTTCGTTAGACTCAGAACTGTTTTCAGTGAGTAAGTTCTTTAAGTTTAAAGAGAGCTCTCTGCCACGCTCCTCTTCCAACATGATCTCAGCCAGCAATTCTCTCTTGCGCTCCTCAGACTGTCAATTCAAGGTGAAACGAAGCGTCGTGTATTTTTTTGGTTCACTGATTCCTTGATGAAAAAACAAGTACCA